TTTACCTGTAACATATTTATTTTCTCCATCACATGTTGGTGAGACTCCCGATGGTGACAAACCAGAAGACTCCCCACTAAACTCAATCATACCCTGCAGCAATAAATATGTTCTTCTAGCTTTTTAAAGGTTAAAGTTAAACCTGTCTACTCTTTTTGTTAGGTTACCAAATTGACTTCAACATGTTCATTGCTGCCCTCAACAGATGTCAAATGTTTGGAATTAATAACTTTGTAACCCAAACAGCAGTGAGCGAAGGTTTGGCAGCTTGTTCACTCCAAGTATCCAGATGGTGTCTGTGCCTATTGTGGCACAGCAAACTGCTCAGTAGCCCATCAAACATAACAAGAGACAGACAATGTCCCAGTGAAATGGTTTCCAGGCAACAACGAGGTTTTTTTCCCCCTGCAGTCTCTAAAAGTCTCCATTTACTCTTGAGTTATTTTCTCCAAAGCTGCATTTGTATAATTTATTGACCTTTTACCCACTGAGTCTCCTTCTCCACTCCTCCCTCAGAAAAAGGTTCTCTGCAGTCTGTGAGGAAAACACTCAGGAATATCTTCACCTCTAAGAGCAGGCAGACAGAGGGCCAGTCTCAGGTGTGTCTGCACGTCTCATTGCATGTCTAGTGCGTGTGCTCTCATGCATCAGCTGCATTAAATATGCTTCACATCTCCACTCTGTATGTCACGTCTTTGTAGGGTGGGATGGTTTTCTTTTTTTTACAATAATTAATTCGTGCATTGCTCTCGGTCTCATGTTTTGTCCTTTCTGCTTAAAAGACATGATAGATACAATCAAACAAAGGAGAAAAGATTAAATTCTGTTTAAATATGCAGTAATTAAACCCCTCTTTCACGCAGGGCTATTAGACAAGGCATGACACCTTAATTCAATGCAGTATCATCTCTGTTGTCACATGGAAACCACTTAAGAGAAATGTGAGTGGCTATTTTTCTTTTTACTGCAAAGGCAAGAACAGTCATGTGAACCTCTGAGAGCAGGCAGACACGTTCAGGTGTGTCTGCACTTCTTATTGCACACTTCAGCAGTTTGTAAAACCAGCTTTACCAGTAATAACCTTTTCTGCATGACTTTATCAGCCTCTCACATTGTTGTGGAGGAGTTTTTGCCCATTATTCTTTAGAACATGGTGCCAGTTCAATGAGGCCATGCACAGCTCTCTCCACTGCATGTCAGTTAGGTTGTGGTCTGGACTTTGACTGGGCTGTTGCAGCACCTCAATTCTTTCCTTTTTTGTAGATTTGCCGGTCAGTGTCGGCTCATTGTCCTGTTGCATGACCCAATTTCCTGGCAACCTTTCCAAACAGGCCATGCTTGTTCAGGCTTTTGTGCTGTCATGCACTGTAACATTCAACATGCTAACTGAGGCCTGTAGAGTCTGGGGTGTTTGCTCAGATGTCGGTTCCTGTGTTAAAGCACACCTGAATGCCCCTTGACGTGCAAACAGTCAAAACTTATTTATATTAGATGATGATTTGTGTTGGAGTCACAACTCAACAATAGTAATATATTATATATTACTCATTAATTTTTTTTAAAGTAATGCAGTACGTTACTTAATTAGACACCAGAAAAAGTGACCCACTACATTCTGTAACATGACATGAATCGCATTTTCACAAAGTTACCAGTTAACGATATAAACCTGAGGCTACAGTTCCACACACTGACAAAAATCCCTTTTTTAAAATAGCTTTTTCAAATGCAAAGTTGAAAACCATCCAAAGAGACTTAAAGCTACTGCCGCAGTGATTCTACTGTACAAACATGCACAGTAAAAACAATGGAGGCTACAATGCTGCAAGCATGGCTGCTCATCACTGCCTTTGTTACCTACTGAAGTTGATGTGATCATTGTTTAGTACAATAATGCATTATGTAACTGCATTACTGATTACAGTAACATGTTACTTTTGAGCACATTACACCCAACAGTGCTGATGTTTAGTAAATCTAGTTCATCAGATTAGCAGCACCTCACTGTTACTTACCCTCTTAATTCCTATGGAAGCAGTTAGGGTGTCTTTATTCCAGGCGAATGGAAGATGGAGTCTGCTTTCTATTCAGGCAGATGCATGCTTATCTGATTGACAGAAGCACATGAATTCACGTCTCATCCACAGGAAAACTCACTGAAGTCGAGCATCTTTCTCTCCACCTACTCTCGCTCGCTCTCATGGAAATGCAGATGCTGGTGGCAGAGTCATTATATTCAGCTTGGTGGTGATCTTGGCTCGCAAGGAAGGCAGTACATGCAAGAATGAAAACCACACTGGAAATAAGCATATGCTTGTGAACTGGCAAGATTAGAATTTGATTTGTGTTGTGCCCACTGCTGTGGCTGGTGAATTACCAGTCTGACTCTCTATTATGTTTTTGGATTCAATCCTGTTCCTCAGTGGGGATTGTTTTTACATCAGTCACACTTCTACAACCATGAATATCAAATAGGCACACAGTGGGATGTTGCTACCAGCAATCAAGCCAAGCTGAGGCTGGATTCTCTCTGTGACCCAGGTATTGTTTATTTTACCAACTGCCGAGTGCAGGTAACCAAACAATGACCTTTAGGACAACATTTGGCAGGTGTAATAATATTAGCATGCTGCTAATCCTTGAATAAAACAATAGTTATACTTTCAGTGATAAACTATAGACTGTATCTAAAAGATGGATGTAGCCACAGTGCGGCGATTAGCATTCTGAAGCCTCAGCTTTAGCTTCAGGGCTGTTGCCATCTTTGTTTCATGGTTGGAGAGGGTTGCTAGGTAACCAGTGAACACCATTAAGCTCGGAAGGCACTTGTGTATGATTTTCCTCACTTTTCTCCGTGCTGTCTCCTGTATGTAGAAGAGAAGTTTAGCTCCAGCCGGCCTGAATTTGTATCAGTGAGCAGGCCTCCCATTTCTGATTGGGAGACGTGCTTATTTATTGTAATGCAAAGAATTGCATAGATTTTATATTTAATTACATAGCACAAAAACATCACTTGGTGTTTTGTGTCTATGCACCTTAAGACAACCAAAGCTGTGATTCTCCTGATATCGCTGACAAACCACAGCTGGAGGTTTTTGGTGCAACTTTGCTTTGATGTAGACAGACAAAATATGAGGTTAGCTTAGCGAAAAGTGGGCAAAATCGTAGTTCAACTTACTCCATCTTAGTCCATCTTTTCGTTCTGGCTGTTAGGGTTAAAAAAAACTTGTCTTCAAAATTGGTGATAAAGCACCAACTCCACAAACAAGGTGGGGAGTTGTTGTTTAGTGCAGGTCAAACCCAGCAGCTGATGCAGCTCCAGCCCTTCAGTCAAAGCAGTCCTGCTGCTAGTAAGTCAGTGACATTTAAACAAAATTCATCTGTCATACAGTTGTAGTGAAGTGAGAATTAAAAACAGACACCAAATGACTTCCCAGAGCTCGTGACGATGGTGAGGGCAGGACGGTAGACTGAATGCTAAATCGAGAGCTCCACTTTTATGCTCTAGTCAATCTCACACTCCACTCTCCCCACACTCGTGAACAAGACCCCGAAGTAGTAACTCGTTCCTGACCTGGAGGGGGCACTCCACCCTCTTCCAGCTAAGGACCATGGCCTCAGATTTGTCTTTCCTATCGCTTCACACTTAGCTGCAAACCACTCCAGGGTGACCTCCATGCAATTTTGCGTAGGCGTGTCAACCAAGATAGCTCTACAACACCCAAAGCCTTCAGGAACGCAGGGAAACTCTTATCTACCCCAGGGACCCTGCCACCAAGGAGCTGTTTGACTGCTTCGGTGACCTCGTCCCCAGTGATAGGCGAGTTGTTCCCCTATCCCCCAGACCCCGTTTCCTCTACACAAGATGTGTCAGTGGGATTAAGGAT